TGTAACTCTTAATAAGTGTTGCCTTTTTGCTGTCTCTCCCAAACCCTGTTCTGCGATCCATTAGATTTCCAAAGCACGCCTTCCTTATTACGTGTCCCAGAAATTTCAACTGCCTCTTCCTGGTGTTACGTATAAGTTTCTTTTTTGTTTCTATTCTCTCGAAAACTTTGTCGTCGCTCACATGTTCAGCTCATGGTATCCTCAGCATCCTTCTGTAGAACCACATTTCTGTTGCGTCAAATTTCTTCATCATCTTTGAGGATATTGTTTAGCATTCAGTGACATATAGGAGGGCAGATTCCACGTAACATTTCAGTACTCTTTTCTTTGTTTCCAATGAATTTTTTCTGTTTCTTAATACTTAGCTTTTGGAAGGCATCTTTGGCCTTCTCAATACGTCTTCAGATCTCAGTGTTGCACTTTCCTTGAAGGTTCATTTTGGTCACGGAGACGTGGATATTGATACCATCGGGGTACTCTCCGACCTGAACTGCAGCCTTCTTCGCTGATAATCGAGCCGCCATATTCGTATCTTTAAGTTTCTAACCACTGACTATTTTCTTGCTTGAAAGCCTTTTCTCATTGTTTGTCATGTGTTTGGTTATATTTTATTTAATTTCCATTCTTTATAAAAAGCAGCGTGACAAGTCCTCGTTTAAGCAATGTGATATTACAAGGTATTTTTCGTCTTAGAAATTATCTCGATCAATTCTTCTTGAAGTGGTCGTCCATGGACCGGTGCCGGTACACGGACCATCAGCTACCGGTACGCAGCCAGTGTCCAAGTCACGCTAAGGAATCATTTGTAAAGATTTGTAAAGATTAACTTTATATAATTTTTGTTTTTGCGTTAATAAACGGCTTATTTTTTTTATTGATTTTTATGTTTCAATATTTAATTATTTTTTGCAAAGTAAATGGAAGATAAAAATAGTCAATTATATATATATATCGTTTCCGGTATAAATTAATATTACCAGGAAATATTACAGGTCCGTGACGTGACACATTGAGAAAAAAAAAATGGCCGGTCCGCCATATCAGATAGTTTGAGAAGCTACTATTCACAAACATCAACGTTAACCCTAGAACACAAACCATCAATTAAAATTACACCTTTACTAACCATGGGTATATCATACCCGATTTTGAAAATATCAAAAAAAATATTAAATATAAATCTTTATTTGAAATATTTTACATGTAGGCACTTCAAACTTTTTACTTTGAGTTAACATTAATAGGAATTGAAAAACATTATTTAGGTAACAAGAACGGGTACTAAAAATTTTAATTAAAAATAGGAAAATTTGCGCTGGGTACTATATACCCATGGTTAGTGTTCTAGGGTTAATATCAGAAAAAACAAGGCAATTTGTATTAACACCATTGACACTGTGAGTCTCACTACCATTGTCACTATGATTATTGATAATCCTCTTCCCCAATCATTTAAGTCATAATAATTACGATGAAATCCAGCATATTTAGTATATGCTTCATCAACAACAACAGATACTGCTACCAGCACGGTTATTTCTGTGGAAGTCTCGCTCGTTTTCCCATTCCCAACAGATTATTTTCATCATCTGACTCGTGAACCTAAGGTTTGTAATAGGGTGGTGGAAAAGAGACACGGTCGGTAAACCTCTTGTGCCCCTGTCCAAATTTCCGACCAGAAATTCTGGCATCGGTCCATGACATTAAAAAGGGGTTCGATTAGAGCGTTGTCCTATATTTCCTTTCTATTTTTGGCCTTTACCCAGAAGACCGAATCACGCAGTCTGAGATACAGACACGCACCAATAATAGTTTGGCTCTCTACGGGCCCCAAAGAAAAGGAAAAAAAAGTAAAACAAAAAAGCAGCTGTTTTTTATTGTTAAACTTGAAACTGTGTCGTGAATACACAAAACTTACTGATTGTCCTACGCGATTTGAATCGGAAGGTTACCATGTACCAAGATCTTTTGATGGATCAAAGGTTAGGAACGAAGTAAAACCTATAAATGGATAAAACAGTTTGCGAATATTCCAAACTTTTGAAGCTTAATCATAAAAAAGAAGCCGATTTATTAGTGGAAGTTGTATTTATTGATCTTATTTGAAATTATATTTATCATTCATTGGTACAAAGGTTAGGATGAAATATGCGATAAACAAATTCTTTATTTTTTCTTGATTTAGAATGGCGAAGTACGGCACAAAGTATAATTTAACGTGTATTTTAATAAGTGCTAAGGACTGGAAGTTGTGGGAGAGCCATGATCACAATTATATTGAAGGAACGTGGAACATAATATATATATATATATATATATATATATATATATATATATATATATATATATATATATATACCACGGGTTGACCCATGCGTTGTGAGTGAAATTGGGTAGACGGAAAACTTGGGGGCTGGTACGAAGTCACAAGTCATCGTGGCTGAGGGCTTGAGCGTGCTGGCTTTGTTTAAATTGATGTTCACGCTAGATAACACGCACTTTCACAGAAACTGTAACTAAGGTCTGCTCAGCATAGTTGCAGTATAAACCACAGGTGGACTCCGTCGGTGTTGAATAAAAACAAATGCGCCTGAGCAAACGTCGGCAATAGGGATTGGCTAGCCGCCCTAGTAGACGAGTATCCTCGAATACGAGTACCAGCTATACATACATACATATAAATATAAAAGTGAACATTGAAATCAACACTCAGAGGCGACAGGCTTTTTCAAGCTAGACGCAATCGTCAGCTATTACATGATGGAATATGGTGTACCCTTGCCAGTAACTCTATTTCATACCCGCACCTTCAAAACACGGTACACTTGGTGGGTGTCAGAAAACAACTGCTTTTCTCGGTCTTTGTTTTAGAAATCGGTAGATGTTCGAAAATAGGAGGTACTGTCTGCAACAGAGATTTCCGGGGACAAGGCTACTGATTCCTGATGCAATGCAGGTCAAGCCAGCAGCAAGAACGCTGTTTCGTATACCCTGAGAGCAATATCAAGATAAAAATAAATCAAATATTATTTTAATAGTTAATTTTTGTTAGGAAAATACCCACATGGAAAAAAGAATTTTGACATATTTTGAAATTGTGAGAATGCTAAAATTCTCATCAAAAATTAAAAACATACTAATAAAAAGAAAATACTTTATACTTATTATCTAAATGATTGGTCAACTTTCAGAAGCTTAGTTCCCTTTAGTTGTGACCATAACCGCTTTTTCAGATCAATGGTTAAGTATGGCTTTGCGTGAATGAAGCAAACCTTATGGATTGGTGCTACAGTGAGAAACAAAGAACTGTATCAAAAACGACAACACTTGAAATCTTTCAACAGCAACAACAGCTAAAATAAATATCACATGTAACCCGATATATAATCAAGATGTTGACGTTCCACGCTTCTTCAAACAAAAGGCTAGGAAGGAAACCCCTGTCAATACTGGGAAGAGCGATAACAGCTATTGGACTTGAGAAACCTATTTTTCTGGAAAATATTTTTCAGAGAAAGAGTTTATAAATTTTAACCGAACTGGATGCTCGGTCAATGAAAGCGGAATGTTTCCTTATAAGGAAAAGGCTAATTCTTGTAGCATACCTACGGACGATAATGGGTATATCCCCATTTACATAAATACAATGATAAATACTGTATGTTGGTCTGTAGTTTGAGATTCGTTTCCAGCTGTGCTGGTCAAACTCTCTGCCTCCGGGTAAAGAGGATCCCCAGACGAGGCTATGTCGAAGGGCAGAGTCTAGTCTCGGGAAACAGCTACCCGACCCCGTTTTATGAGGAATGTTTGGCCGCGCCTACGGGTTTGGACACTCCACATTAAATTCGGCCTTGTGCCTCATCTGACCGCGTGGGGTGGTTGGTAGATATCCTGCAGTTGGAGATTGTTTGTGGAATTCACTTGACTCATTTCTAGCAGTTGACTACCTCTTCTTCGCGCCGCTGGCTAATCTTATATGTGTTGTTCTTGTCCTAAGTATTATCGTTCATCACCAACATTCGTGTGATTATTCTATTCAGTAACCTTCCCCAGGTTACAACACTAATATTACGATTAACACTACCATTACTATTGTCTCGGGTTAATTTGAGCTTATTAAGATCTGGATATCTCGTTATGACACATCATTTGGCAGCTAGTCTTGTAGATCATTAATATTTCACTCACATTATCATTGAGTACTTCATAATTCTGGCCTTGTGTTAGATTTAAGTAATTTTAGATTGAACTCAGTTGATAGCTGCTATTAAATTTTCCGGGTCCCGGGGTCTAACTGCATCCCCTACAGAGGGATAAGGAAAAAAAGAAACCACTTTCATAGGTAAATGCTTTCCGACTCAAGCAGAAACACGACAGCGTAACAGCTGACATTTCTGGGAGACAATGAGAAAAAAGCTTTCGAGAGCTTAACACATTGAATTTTTTGCGGTTTATAAACCTTTTGAATGTTATTTAAAGCCAGAAAGTATTTTTAGATTGTAAGAATTGTTGAGAGATAATAATTATTTACTCATCAGTCATTCATGTAACTTACGTGATACACGTTTAGGCGATCATGTATCTTTCGATACATGACTGACGAGGCAGATTTTTTCCTGCAGTATGTTGCCATTTCTTTCTGCCGTAGACCAGTTGTCATCTAAGGCTATAGAACCCGCTCTGTCCTGCTATTTACCCATAGCTGGGGAAGGGGAGAAGAAGAGGATTCATACCTTTTCCAAGGGAATTAGCACGTAATGGATTCGACTGGAATTTGAACTCTGCTCTCTGATTCCTCAATCGCGGGCCGCTATCCATTACTCCAAAACAAGTCCTATTAAGTAACCCATAGCTAAGGAGAAAAGTGGTGGATTTATATCTTGCTTAACACTATTTGCGCGAAAGTGAATATAACCATTTATACTTGTAATCGAAACCCGGTTCCCCGACTTCGAATTCTGAGTCGTATTCCATTACACCACCCGCATATCCAAGTTTAAAGCACCTGGGATTCCCAATCTGTCAGCCATCTAAGTACTGACCTGGTTCGACGTTGCTTAACTTCGGTGATCGTACAGGAAACAGTGTTGATGCGTGATATGGCCGTAAGCCTTTACCACATGGACAATAAGAAAAGCAAGTGGAAAACAGTGGGTAACCTACTTAACGAGTTTGAGTGAATAGATGGCAAGGCAAAAACGAAGAGGGACGGTATTGGCTCAACAGTTACTTAGTCCAACAAAAGATGGGAAGTTGCGGAGAGACATGATCGTCTACGGTCTAAAAAGACATAGCTCTTAAAATGGATTGCTGTAAAGTATAAACACGGTTTATGTCTGCGTATAAAAACAGATTTTAACATTAAAAACCCAACAAGGGATGATGTCGTTAAATCCATCAATCAAATCATGCTTGATCAGACACTGAGAGGCATTGTGGCCAAGTGTAAACGCATGCAGGTCTGGCCTTTCCTTGTTGCTATTTATCGCAATTCACAGACCGTTATTCTACGACCCTCTTTCCTTATCGTTTTGTCGATCCGAGAGTTGCGACATGAAAAGAAAAAAAAGTAAAAAAATAAATAATAATTGGTGATGCTTCATTTGAGAAACCGAAGCTTTTTTTTTTAGCTTTTATCTTAGAAAATGTTAGAATTCTAAGTTTGTAGGATTGTTTCTGTCGCAAAGATATTGGTCTAAATCAATGTAATTTGACACTGATATAATGTTGGTATTTTAAAGTTTTCGAGAAATTGTTTTGTTGTCTGGATTTTTTTTTCGACAAACAGTTCATAGTGTGTCACACTGACCCGGTGAATATTCGACTGTTTTTGAACCCAAGAATTCTATTCATGGTTCCAGGGAAATGGAAAAACCAACCTAGAAGCAAAAAAAAAAAAAAAAAATCAATGTTTGTAATCATCAGTTTGTTGCCTCAAGAATTCTATTCAAAATTTACAACTGGTCGCGAGGTACGCGACTCAATAATAATTTAGAGTAAATCGACAAAATTATCTATAATTTCCGTCTGAATGTCTGGGATGGGTAGTTAACATTATTTACATTTAAACGAATCTTTGTTGATATTATCATAACCTTTTCGGCTGTTGTGTTCTCCGGCCTTTTTCGGTTTCATATCGATCTTGGTAAACCTTCAAAGAATTTCGTACTAAAGGTTTTATTTAATCCACAGCAACAGATTGTTATCATTTCACTGTTTATGTCTAGGGATATCTTGTCTTTTTAGTACTGTTATTGCTGGCCCCATTTCCACTGAAACACTGTTGACGGATCTAACCATTTTCCCTGAAGAAGAAAACACCATAACCGAAAGGTTTTGATAATAACAATAAAGATATTAGTCCTGATGTAAATAGTGTAAATAAATATATTAATAGAAAGCACTCATTCTGTGAGTGCTACTTGTACCAGATAAACCGGTGCTAGCTGCTACATGATCAAGTCATCGGCGATTAAAATGTTTTCCCCACCAGACTTTTCTGGTGATGAAGGTGGCTTGGCATGTAGCAGGATTAAAAACACGACCTGCTATAGGGCGGATGAACATTCTTGTCGGGCCAAAAGCAATCTAGCACGCAATGAAGAAGACTGGGATCTATATGTGTGTTGTAGAGTGGTTTCACAGTGGAGGCTTGTATTTGTACTAAGTCGGTCTTAAAATAGGTTCGACGTACAAAACGTTAGGAACTTGATATAATAGCTAATGACGCAGTAATCTAGTTGTGGTGGCTGATACTTTAATATCCGATTAATGGTCGTCCGACATCGACTCACTGAGCAGCTCAGACTCAGCGACTGCTACTACCCCTACTTATTATAGGTGGGAGAGTCTATTAACTATAGAATAGGTGTGTTCAACTATAACAATGTGAATGCCAGTGCGGTGTTTACACGGCATCGATGGTAGGAGAGCTTTTTAGACTAGTCAAAAGCCAGAGCTCAGCCTTCCACCGACGAAATCAATAGGCATGTAACCGTGACCAAGTCGAGCCTTCAAGTTGTACACCATCGATTTTGGTTTAACCTGGAGAGGGATGGGACCCGCCAGGTCTACTTGCCAAAGAGACTCTATGCATGAATGAATACCTCTCCATCTTTGATATATAGAGCGAAAAGACAGGTGCTCAGCAGCGCCGGGAGCTTATGACCACACCCAGTTATAGGACACCTTTTAATATGTTTTTTACGGATTACCAACCTTTTGTGGGTTATTTGATGTCAAAAAATATTTTTAGATCTTAAGAATTTTTTCTTACATAATAATGATTTATTGATACAAGTCTTACTAATTAACCCATAGCAGGGAGGAGAAGAGATGGATTCATGACTTTCCCAAGTGTATTTACGCGAAAGTGAATATAACGAACCCAACTGGAATTGGAACTCGGCTCCCAGATTAATAATTCTGAGACATTATCCATTACACCACCCGCACATCCAAGCTTACAGCACCTGGTATTCCCTAGCAAAGTACTGAGACACAGGAAATTACCAACCCTCGAGCGTGCTAAATCTTCTCGTTAGTGATAGAGATTGACGGGCGTACTGCTTCTTCTTCGTACATCACGCTTGTCCGGCCACTTCTCGATCCACTCATACCTACTTCTACGCCGTAGGGAACTGCTGCCGCATTGTGTTAAAAGCCACCAATGAATTTCAACCCCTGACACACCTACCGACCGGAAAATCGAGTCACTATTCCTCCTTGGTGCACACTGCTAGCGGTGCGGCCATGTATAAAATGTAACAGCAGCAAGACAACTGGTGTGATCAAGCTCAAACATCGATCACGTGACGACAATAGTACAAACTGTAAGCACGCACGAGCAGAATTCAGTTTGACAAACCTAAAGATATGTCATGGAGAAAGTGCGGGTAATTTTTGACTTGCCTTCGTAATATCAATCCCCCTATATGGCAATGAATGATGGACAAGTTTCTTGCAGATGAAGAGTTTGGTTTCGTTTGGTTTGTTTTATTTTACGGCATATCAACCTCAATGGGTTATTTAATGCCGACAACTTTTTTCCTGGTAATATATTTTGTCAAAAATCTATTTCTGGTAATATTTTTTCCTGAAAAATGTATAGCTGGTAATATTATTTTCAAAAACGTATTGCTAGTAATATTTTTTTTTTCCAAAATATATTGCTGGTAATATTTTTTTTCTTCAAAAATGTATTTCTGGTAATAATTTTTTTACAAAGTATTTCTGGTATTGAAGCCTATTTTTACACTTATAATGCTTTTGACCTCAGTTTTGGGGTTAAATATTTGCCCATAGCTGCGACCCTAACAGGTGCTATCATCCCGGGCCAGAGTGGACCTGGGAACACCAGCAATTGAGAGGTAGTCCCACGCTCCTCAAAACCTCGTGATCACAGGCCTTGATGTTGGACGTAGTTTATCGTCTTACCCTGGACGCGGATGAAGTTTATATTCATACCCAGGACGGTGCAGATGTACAGGAGAACAAAACAACAGAAATGTAGTTCTACAGAAGGATGCTGAGAATACGGTGTGTGGATCAGAAAGAGGTAGTTGAAATTCCCGTGACACAATAACTTGGAAAATTAGACACTGGTAGGGAATACTGAAAGCAAAGCGGCCAGCAGATGAACTACATGGCAATTTTTGTGAATGTGTAGCAGAACAAGGGGTGGGATGGATGGTAAAACTCCGACATTAGTAAGATGAATTGATTTGTTTTTTACGGTTTATCAACCCTTTGCATGTTATTTAAAGCCAGAACATTTTTTTTAGAGTGTAATTTTTTTTTATTGAGATAATAATGGTTTAGTAATACAAGTTACTAACTGACTTATAGCTGGTGGAGAAAAGAAGAATTTATACCTTTACAAAGCGTATTTGTATGAGAATATAAGGAACACGATTGGAATTGGAATACAGCTTTTCGATTAACAATTCCGGGTCATTATCCATTATATCACTCACACATCCAAGCTCCCATCTTCCATAGTTCTACGTTGCTTAACTTCGGTGATCGTACGGGAACATGTGTTTCAACGCTATATGGCCGTAAGCCAGACATTAGTACGAGCTACAAAGATGATATGTCGGTGACGGTAGCAACATTGCTGAAAAAGATATTAATGTCACTGGAAAATTGAACTCAGTTTTGTAATAACATTGATAAACGGAAGAATGAAAAATGGCTTCCTATTTCCCCTTTGTTCGTACTTTTATTTGTATAAACCTAGAGTATGTCTTTAAAAAAAAAAAATATCGACTTTCATTAAATATTTATTTGTTTTCTTAATTATTTTTGCTAAGTCAGAGGTCATTACGGTAATTTACCAACTTTATCTTCCCTTTGGTTGCCCAGACGTAAATGTAGAATTATGCTTAAAATAACATTAATATGCTTATTCACTAAGCCGAGATTAGTCTGACACAAGGCCATAATAGCTGGAGGGAAACAATCAAAGACCGAACTGACGAACACAGCGAATTAGTCTAAAACATGAAGTTTTTTTTAAATACTAGAAAGAGCGATAAAACTCAGTAGACTTGAGAAACCTCTTTTCCTTAAAACCTGTTTTAGAGAAAGATTTTATAAATTTCAATAGACAGTAACATTGGCTACTCAGTAAGTCAATACTGAATATTTTCATATAAGGAAACAGCTAATATTACCACTACCATTGCGCTGTGGTAATGATTCCCACCGGTAGAGCATGTAATATTTTAGTGGGGGATGCATAAGATGTGCCCCCTTTGGTGTACTATACCAGAGTGAGTTCAAATTCCATTTTGCATTATTATTTCATGATTAAAATGATCAAAGCATATTAGAAAATAAGCTTTCATTCAAATATTTTATATTTCTGCCTTTCAGTTCTCTATGATATATTTTGAAACTATATATATTTAACTGTCTTTTTGGATTTTTAAAATTTTTTCTCTTTCATGGACGCCATGGTTTTTGGAGGCTTGTGCCACGTTAATGACCTCTTAAGCTTCCTTGATGTGAATTACAGTAATATTTTGGGGGCATGGTAATATTTTAGTAGGGCATGCGTAGGATGTGCACCCTTCGGCTTGCTCTACCAACGTAAGCTGAAATTT